ACTGCAAGACTATTGCGAGGCTCTTGCGCAAGACCAAGACCATGACGGAGACTGAGTTTGGAAGACCAAGACTTGTCTCGGTATCACATTTGAGCAACACTAATTTTAACGGTCTTAATGATTTGTTATCTGTAAGCTTTAAGATTTAGCTCCATTTAAAATACACTTCAAAAATTTTATAATAGCTCAACATTGTCAGAAAATAATCTATATTCAAAGTAGAGTATTAAGTGAATGTTTTTTGTTTTTTTTTACTATAATGTCGATGTTAAATCTATAACTAAACATAGAAAAATATGAGAAAGGTAAATGGTTCTGTGAGAAACCCAAGGTTCGAATTAAACGTTCTAAAACGAAGAAGTAAACACACGTGAGGAATATTCTCGGAGTAAACCTTGCCAAAAGTATTAAATATTAAAAAAAAAACTGATTTTCTAGAATATGCTCGTTTCGCTGGAAAGCTATTTATTGTCATTTTTTTTAACTTGAATTCTCACTCATTTTTCAGCTTTTCATTATTATATCATGTATTATTGTCGTATGTTGATTGTATTCATGAATTTTGTTTTGAAAGTTGTAGTGAATTCGGTTTAAAACATACTCATTTCTGATTTCTTCCTTCTTTCAGTTTATAGATTTACAAAAATTGAAGGTAGTAATTTTGATATATTATTTCAATAACCAACCATTGTGATTGACAAAAAAATTTAAAAACATAACCCCCTCTCAAAATTTGAGGTTTCACGTTTCAGAATGAAAAACGAATAAAAAATTGTTTGTCCGTCTGCCGTCCGCGCATTTTCTCCGAAACTACTGGACCGATTTTTTTCTAATTTGGATATAAAATCAGTGGTCCTCCGAGGATGATCCTCCTTCATCAACATTATTATCCGCCTTTTTACTTTCAAAATGGCGGCCGAAAACCCTGCGTTGCTATAGACTGTAGCGCCTAATTGAATGTAGCGATTTCAATGAAACTTCGCTGAAGTAATTTTCTCTACGCCCTTTAAATTTATCTATGTACCATACTTCAACGATAAGAAGCTGAAAGAAAAGTTACGAGGGAAGGTAAAATTAAATTCCGAATAACTCAAAAAGTTTACACTTTTTTGTAGATATTGTGTATGGGTTTTTAAAAGTTTATGAAATTTCCTAAAATCCAAAAAAAAAAAAAATAGTTAAAATCGGCAATTAGGAACAAAGATATGGTTTCCGTTTTTTTTTAATATGTTCTACTGCAAATGTTATATCGTTTGTTTGGTTTTTAAATTTTGAATGTGTTACTGAAGTAATGCAATTTTTTTTAGCATATTACTAATGATTAAAAATAAGAAAGTTTAGTCCAATAATTGGAATCACCTTTTATTTTTTTTCTTTGTAACTAGGAAGCTAATGTTACTTTAGATGTATAATTGTTTGGAAATAATAAACCATTGTGGAATAATTTTCAGCATTTTTTTTTTTTTTTACAGATGTAATTAGTATGAGAGGCATGTTCCGAGAAGCAGTTCCAGTTTTCACTTTGTTGCTAGCGGGATCATGGAGAGACGCGACTGGAGAAAACAAACCCTTGATGTACATCGCACTGTTAGGCGAAATCGTCGGTGTATCCGTCCTGCTCCTGGCGACTTGGATGTGGTCGATATCCATTTGGACGGCATCCGTCGCCGAAGCCGTCCTCTATGGAGTATTCGGTGGCAACAAGGTCTTCTATGTAGCGGCCACCTGTGCTGTAACCTTCAGTGGTGTCGACGATCAGAGGACTAATAGGTCAGTTATTATTTATACATAGATAGATAGAAGATAGATAGAAAAAGAACTTTATTCTGAGACACAGTCCCTTGAGAATAACAAAATAAAAAGATTACATCTGGCCAAAATAAAATCAATCGAAAAAAAATAATGTAAAGAAAATATATGATAAACATTCTATATACAAAACAAACGAAACTATATACAAAACAATTAATACTATAACAAGACACTTAAAGCTATTTGCACTGATAGACCAGTATACACTCTTAAGAAAATAATAAAGAATTAAAAAATAAAAATATATCAAATTATCTATTAAAATCAGCTCGAATGGTTAGCAACTATTTGACTATTTTTGTCGAGATCTTGTGGACAGGGAATGGACTGAGAATTTGAACTGGAGAAGGTTGTAGACGTAAGAAGGACGATGGTTCTTGATGATTTGGTAGAGGAACGTACCTAGGAAATATTGTCTTCGGAAGGAGGGGAAAAGCCACTTTAACTCAGCGTAGTGGTGAGAAACATGGGATTATCTTGGGGCCCCGATCACAAATCTTATGCAGCTGTTCACTAGTCTTTTCAGTCTATCACGGATCTAAAAATCCTAAATTTTTAACTTTGAGGAGTAGAAGGAGATTGGCTGGTCATTAAGTTGTAGTATGGGAAAGTCTGTATGGGATCTAAGAATGGGCTTGGAAGCAATGACAATGGCCTGAGTTTTAGCAGCATTTAACCTTAAGGCTCTGATTCGATCTTGGATCTTGGCAAATGCCCCCAGTAACTTAGGAGGGGAAAGTTATAGGTATTAGATACATTATGACAGTAAAGCTGTATAAAATAATTTTCGTTACTAAATTTATGAAGGTGAAAATAAATAAAATTATAATAAAGTAAGACTTCTGGCGAAAAAAAGTTGAAAGACGCAAAAAATAACAAAGGAAAAACTACTTTTAAAGTTAATAGAAAATCAAATAAGGTTTATGCTTTAGACCACATGATAGTGAAAAAAGCGACAAGGCGAGTTTAACAACATGAAATGTAAATTATAAATAATAGTTCATTATCAAGAGGATAAAATTCTGAACATTTCCCTCGCTTACAGTATGCAGGTCCGATTTTTATTTTCTGGGATATTTTAATCCATATCTTCAATAAAACCCTTTAATTTGTTTATAAGGTTATATTGTATCCCAGTATTGTTTAATTATTGGTATTAAATCTTTCCATTTGATATTGGTAAATACAGTTTCTTCATTAACACAGACCAAACAATATTTACCAGATGTCTATTTTATTTATTCCTTCAAGCATTTAATCTACATCCATTTAGTTTTTACATCATTATTACTATTTGATTTTAGGTTATTTAACCAAATATTTTAGTTTTCTATTAAAATTACTAATGATAGGACTAAATGGAGCGCCATTTTTATGGAACTTTACTAATCTATGTTTAATAAATTTTTTTTAGAGTTAATAACAGAGTTTATTACATAAAATATAGACATCAAAGCAAGGTAAATTTAAAAATGTCCTTAATGAATATTAATAAATTGAATAATAGCTCATTAAAAAGAAGATGAAACGAAATACATTTTCGTTAATCGCGTATTTAGTTTCTTGTAAATATAATTTGTATATATTCTTTATTAAACTTAGAAATAAATTAAGTTTTTTAGTAAAAATTACTTTAATTCTGCTACCTATTTATATCATGATGACACAGATAATATTGTTAATTATAAAGCATCATAAACAAAAACCAGCCTTTGAGAAAATAAATACAACTAATTAAATTTGGACTGATCAATATAATATAGATCCAAATTTATTTTAATATTTTTTTATTATTAATTTTTATTAAACATTTCTGGGTAATTATCATCAATAATTATCCAGTTGCAATCCGAATAAAATTAAACACCTCAAATCATAGCAAATTTAATGTCGTCCTTTGTTTGGGAGTAAAATATAGCAATATATATATATATATATATATATATATATATATATATATATATATATATATATATATATATATATATATAACGAGAAACAATTTTATCGAACTAATGAACTTGGACATAAAAACACAACTGATTTGGGTAAAGGGACACAGCGGCGTCCGCGGAAACGAAAAAGCTGACGCAATGGCAAAAGTAGCTGCTTGTGATATTCAACTGCCTTATAAATATAATTTAGCCCCCTTCACTTACGTTAAAAAACTCTTATGGACTGATCTAATCGAAGAGTGGAACAGACATTGGCAACAATCTACCAAAGGACGACCATTACATAAATACATTCCAAACATCACCCCACAAAACTGCAACACAACAAAAAGCACCCATTATAAACCAACCCAATTCCTTACTGAACACGGCCCGACTAACCAATATCTAAACAGATTCCACTTAAAAGCGACAGACGCATGCAATTGTGACGGACTGACCCCACAAACTTTCATACACATTTTAAACGACTGCCAGTTATACGAACACAAAAGATCCACCTTCCTGAAATCTTCTTTGACGCAAGGAGACACATGGCCTCTTCCCGAACCCATACTATACAAAAAATACAAGAAGGAGTTGAAGGAATTCATTATTAGCATAAAACTATAAGACATTCCAGCATAGCTCTTTTATTTAATATACTTCTAAAGTTAGACTTATGTCTTTTATTCTTTATTTTGTTGATACTCAATTGTAAATTTGTAACATTTGTTTATTCTCCGCATAATTTTTGTATTTGATTCTGCCTCCGTTTTAGAGTATTTTGTCTTAGTATATTCTGGTAATGTTCATTCATCTGATACTGTTATTTACTTTATTTAATCGTTTATTGTTATTTATTTTATTTAAACATCTATAAATATTCTCCTTGTAATACATATTAAGTACCATTCTTTTTAAATATCATTAGCCAACACATATTGAAATAAGTTATATTTATAGTTATATACTAAATAACACTGTAATGCATATAATATGTTTTAGCATGGTGTATGCCCACTTCTAAAAAATAAACGCCTCTTCTGTAGGGTTACTACAGCATATATATATATACTAATGGATTACTATATATATATGTAGAATAACTGAAATAGAAATATAATATTGTTCTAGGTATATGATGTACCACATTGCAGGTTCGATGGGTACTTTCCTATCCAATGCTGTATCTGGGTATTCTCTTCATCTTCTTGGTTATAAATGGTTCTTCGTCATGGTCATAGCTCTCTTCTTGCTGACTTTGGTCTTAGTGGCAATTTCTAATGAGTCTGAGAACAGAACGGAAAGAGAAAAAGCATCTACAATGTTCCAAAAAATGAAAGCCATAACTAAATCAAGACCGAATAACTCAGTAGTTTGGATTATGCTAATCAGCTGTGTTATCATCAACGTCTGTGCTTTAGGTAATTTAAAGTATATAATTTTTTTTGTTTTATAGAAATATCTCTAGGATTAAGAATGAATGTTTATATGATTAATTTAATTGTTGTTTTTATATTCAGTTGTTGTTACACAGCGAATATTTTATTTCATATTTTCATTTTTTTTTTTTTGTATAAATTTATTTATTTTAATTTCTTGGTATGCGATAGGACTTATGGCCAAAATTAACCATCTTTATTTTTTATGCTGTTCTTATTAAAGAAATTGGCTCCAGATTAGTTTATATATATTATTGGTGAACATTGATATTATCTTCATCTAATTATCTAATCACAATTCATTTTTTGAATTTTGCAGCTGAAAGCAATTTGTACCTGTACTATTTACAGCTGGTATTTGACTTCACAGTCAAAGAAGCTGGACTTTATTCAGGGTTCCGTTTAGTACTCTCCATACTTAGTGAGTACCTTTCAAATACGTACAAATAAAGTTAAATATTTCGATACTAATATTTTTGCATTTTTTAGGTACAGCGATTCTATCACCGCTGTTGACAAAAGTTTTGAAATGGTCTGACTTCAGAATCGGTATTATTAGTTCATTTCTGACTTTTATTGCGGCTGCTGCAATGGTATTTGCAAAGACACTGGTACATTTGATTATATGTAAGTAATATCTTAACTATTATAACTGTATTAATACATGAAATAAGTTAAAAATTTTAATTCAATGTATTTTGCAACTTAATTTTTCCAACCAGAGAGCGTGTTGTCGGAAAATAGAATCTGAAAAAAATGCATTGTTAGGTGTGAGGGAAAGGAGTGCCCTGGAACGTCCCTTCCTTTCTTAATTTAATATCTATTGATAGTAGAGCAGATCCCTCATCCAGCTTCTGTTGAGTCGTCAAGGGGTTTTATTGGGAATGTCAATTATAGCCATATCTTTAATCAGTGAGTTGGAATTCACGTGTATGTTACTTCATGTAAAGTAATGTTACTGATGTACCAGTAAGGCTTGGTGACAGTTCTGGTTGTTTTTGATTGAACAGTTTTTAGTTTACGTATGCGGGTCTTTATTGCTGTCCTGTAAATCTAAGAAGGATAAATCAAAATGGGGTTTAATAAGTAAGTGTATTTTTTCAATTTCTGTCTTAAGTTTTAATTTCGAACAACATGGAAAAAGTGAATATAGCAATGGTAATCATAGGTTTAGTGTCTTTGTTTTGTTTTCGATAGGTGGGTCTCATGTCATTCTTCAATCAAATGTGAAATGGTACGTTTTGGGATGTTTAAATTAATTCGGGATGCCACTGGATAATTATTGATGATAATTACCAAGAAATGTTTAATAAAAAATTATTAATAAAAAGATTAGTAAAATAAATTTGGATCTACAATATATTGATTGGTCCAGAATTTATTAATTCTGTGCTTTCTAATTACACACATTACCTGTTATCATCATGATATAAATCGGTGCCAGAATTAAAAGAACTTTTACTAAAAGACTTAATTTATTTCTATGCTTAATAAAGAATATATACAAATTATATTTACAAGAATTACAAATTATAGTTACAAGAATCAATGAATTTAATAATTAACTATGAAGGCATGATTTCAGATGGAATGTTTTGAAATTATATTTCCATGAAATATTATAGCATTGGTAAACTTATTGTTGTTAATAAACTAATATAAATCTATTGTATCTGAAGTAGATATCATCGCTGCATCTGCGAAGTTGAGATCATCTCTTTATGGTCCAAAGCTCTGCTAGGATCTTCATGGTCTATATAGGGCCAAGGCTTCAGTCTCCAAGCCGAAAACAGAAGAAGACATATCCTCAAGGCCGGACATCAACATAAGACGTTTCCTCAGCGTCGGATCTCCACAGAAGACTTATTTTCTTCCTTCTCAGTAGATTTTATAGAAATATTTAGGGTATGGCGAGAATGGTTCTCATTGGTCCTTAACTTCACAATAACTGGTAACACCCTAAAAGGAAGCAGTTACTTATCCCGTCGGTCCTTAATTTACCTGCTCTCCAACCTTGATGCTGTTCTTGATGTCAGAAGTCGGATTCGTTCACCTTTGCTATCTACACCTCATAGCGATTCCAAAACCCTACTATATCATATCTTTTAGCAAATCTTCAAAACACAGCAAATGCCAGTCGAACCCGATTAAGATTGACACTGGCATGAAGCAAGGCTGTGTAATGTTTCCAACTATCTTCGTCGTCGTTCATGAGAGGCTTGAAGATCTCGACTGTGCCAAAGATCTATATATTAATAAACAACGTTTCAGTTATCTTCAGTACAATTTAGATGCATTATACCGAATAACTAACAGTGTTTGAATGTCGATCAAAGTCTATAAAACAAAATAATTACGAGTAAATAAACGATGTTGGAATCCACTTGTTTTGAAAGAAGAGCCGATGGAATCATTCATATACTTGTGAAGGGGAATCATCAAAGAGGAAGAGTCGTTAGAAGATTCTTAAAGCCAGATAAAAACTAATGGTTATTCTTAACGCCGCATACTCTTGTTTCTTTTTTTTTTCATTATTATTTTTATCACACACCCTTTTTTAATGTTGTTTTATAAATGTATATTTATGTCTTTTTTTGTAAATGTTTAAGAGACAATTGTCCCAGAACTGTATTTAAGTGTACATTGTTTTTTATATTTGGCTTCATTTGCGATGTATTATCGCTTTTGTGCATACGCTCCAGCCCAGTAATACTCAGTCTAAGGGATTAAGACATCAAAATAATGCGATAAAACTGCCCCTACCATTTCACAAGATCCAGGTTCGTCTCACCTCACCTGTGCCAGCTTACGGCCATTTCTTGGTGACAGCTGTTCGTTGAAATCGATATACATATCGATTCTCCCACCATCGTCTACTTTTGTCATTAGCTGTTCAAGGTAACCTCGTTAGAAGCAGAATCTCCAACATGGCTCGTTTTTTTTATTCTCACCATCACCAACAGACATTTAAACATCCATTTAATTTTGTTGCCCCCATAAATTAGTTTTATTCTTCTTGAACAGTGAATTTTTCTCTCGTTTTATTTGGTTTTATTTTCTCTGGATATTATATTTATCTTATATTTTTCTCGTAACATTTCATCAATGTTTATTTTAACTTTTGTACATATTCAGATTTTTTTTATTCAATAAATATCGTAAACATTTAAAAGGGGATTTCTTTATTTGCTTATCTTAACATATTTACTTAATTGAGTAATTTTATTTGGTATCGTTTGTGCATGTGTTCTTTCTTTAATGTTTTACAGGTCTCATTTTTACTCTCTTTTTTTCCCCTTCTTTCCCACCATTTAATTTTGCTCGTATTTTCCCCACCATTGAGGAAACTCACCGGGAAAAGGTTTATATTTTCGATTTTCAAGTACCCGAGGCCCCAACAGTTATTATGAAATATTGTGAAGTGCGATTCACAAAGCATTATCGAGATGAATTATATGGTGAAGAGTGCTCATGGTTTTCTCAGAAGCATCTGGGAAAACAAAGAGGAAAGTTAGCGGACTGGTTTAATATAAAGGAAGATAGAACACTGTGAATAATTAATAAAATTATATTTTGTTTTTCAGTTGCTGTGTTAGATTGTTTGAAATTATTTGCCCAGACTTTGCCAATGTCAATCGTATCCCAGTGTGTGAAGAGTGACGAAGTTGGTTAGTAATTAATTTTCATTTATTTTTATATTAACATTAAATCTTAGATTAAAGAACTTTTAATCCTTTTAACAAAAAAAAAGGTGAAAATTAGTCAAAAACCGGCGTAATAATGCTTTACTGTGTAATACTCCCAGTCTGAGAAATTCCAAGATTAGGCCAAATCATCTGTTCATTATTTCCTTCGTTACTTATCCTTATCTCTTGACGTATTTAGTCTTTGACGGACTCCTAATAATCGATTCGAATCAACCAGAAAACCTTAATATATATATATATATATATATATATATATATATATATATATATATATATATATATATATATATATATATATATATATATATATATATATATATATACTAGTTGGCCCGTGCGTATAATTCGCAGAAAATTTTGTTCAGTGAAGAAATAGCAAAACAATATGGAAATAAGTACATCCTATGTATTATGCAAGGAAGGAATTAATTTTTTTTTTCCTTGGTCGATTACAATATTCTAATTAACATAATATAACAAAATATTTGTACAAATTGCTTTGCTAGGACATATTTTTAAATGCTGACTGGAAGGATAATAAAAGTAATAAAGACAAAATATCTTATAAAAGACAAATGTCTTTAAGGAATCATAAAGTTAATATATCTGCCAGGAAAAGAAGTGTAGTTGACTATTCTACTCCTAAATGCAATCTCTTTAAACAGGAAGACATTATTATGTTTAAAAAAACTAACGGGCTGTATCTTTGTTAATAATTGTCCGATTTTTTTTTGTTTTGTACGTAATTTACTAATCTTTCTAAGAAAAAAAATACTTTTTGAGTTATTCGCAAATAAAGTTTCTTTTCCTTAATAAGGTTTTCTCTAGAATTTTCGGGGAGATAGGAATAAATTTCACATGTGAGGGAGAACAATATCTTCAAAATGAGTGGTTCAAATCATTGGATTTGATAAAGAATTGAAGAAGTTATGGCGTACCGACAAAAAAAAACTTTAAGAACTAACGTATAAGATTATATATATATATATATATATATATATATATATATATATATATATATATATATATATATATATATATATATTTTATATATGCTTCAATTAGAATGATAGATCTGATCAGTAATGCGATTGTTGTATACAATCAAGGGAAAATAAATTACGTCTTTTAATTTATATAAATATTAATAATTTTTTAATAAGTTTAATAATTGGTGAATGTTGTTTAAAAATTTTTTTATATATTGGATGTTATACAAATTTATATGCAAGGGTTTTTTTATGGTACAAAAAGTTAATATAAACTTAATTCATTAATTAAAATTATTTTAATTAAAATATTGGGTGGAAGGAATAAAAAATATTATAGACGGTTGATATTTACAGTATTAGTGCAATATCATGACAAATTAGACCTTTTGACGTGTCAGTGATTTTATTCTACACATAACAAAAAAAATAGTACCTACCTTGAAATCCCGAAAAACATAGAAATAAAAAAAAGTTCGTTAAATTGCATAAATTCTAGATTAAAACGAAGGTTCAAATCGTGCTCCCACAATCTGTGTTTTTTTAAAATAAGTCTAACCTCTTACAAACAGGTGTCATATGAAAATGAAATTATAAAGAATAATTCTATCCACGACAGATTAATTATATTAGTGAAGATATTTAAATAAATTAAAAAATAAACGAGTAAATAATCTGTATTAGATAAAAGGAGAAAGTTGAGTATCATAAATTTATTTTTGACAACTAGACAACAGATTGAATATGACAACATTCCGTCACTGGGACATTAGTTATAATCAGGTAGGATCACATTCACACTGTATGTACAAAAATATATAAAATAAACATAAGCAAAATAAAAATAAATAGTAACCAAAAATTATGGATCATTAATAAGAAAGATACAATTGAAATACAATTGATACAACTGTTTTGTGTTTTTTTTTATATGTAGAGAAGTATACATATTAACCCTCTGGCCGTTAATATTTATAATAATATCCATATTAAGTTCAATAACTAAAATTCTACTCTTGTCCAGCAAACGAGGCAATCAAAAGATAAAACATATTAATTGTAAAATTCGTAGCATTAATTGTTTTTAATAAGTATGCTCATATTTTATGTATGTTTTTCTTTTTTCATTTCAGGAATATTTTTCAGCCTACGTTTCATCGGTGGATGCCTGTCCCCAATGCTGTTTTTTTATATGTACGATGTTATATTTTCTGCAACTTCATATACTCTGCCAGGAGCTTTCTTCATAGCCAGCGCCATCTTTACATTACTCGTATTTTTCTCCTTTTGGTAATTATCATATATAACAAAATTGTTATTGTACATAAGTTTCATAAAATAGTGATTCATTGTTGTTTACATTGTTTGAATATTTAATATCAATCAAGAAACACAGACATTTTTTGTTAGTTTAACTTCTTAGTTACACTACTGTTCATTATTGCTATCTGTTAATTATTAGTTATTCTACTGTTGTATCGTCTGATTAATCGATCTAATATTGTTTTAGTATATGTTCCTGTATCTACACAGAATCAATGGAACTTTTGGAAAACGATTTTACAACAAATACTGACTCTGAAAACTGTGGCGGGAAATCAAATAGAGCCTTCGAAAAATCCTTGGAAGCTACGTGATTTTTTTAAATCTATTTATTAAACAATAAAAGTTATGACTATATCTATATGTGAGAGATAAAGACATCATTTCAATTTTTATTAAATAATTAAGCAAGTTACAAACTAATTTTAATAGCTCAATGTTATTGATAATTGGCAACACCAGCAAACTAAAAAAATGTAGCATGGTGTCGTTTACCTCCGTCTTACAAGTGGCAAAACAGGGAAACTCATTCTACCAAGAAATTGGAGAAGCGACAAAATTTAATACAATAATATTGGTTCAATAGTATTTAACTAATTTGGCTTAACATTTTAGTTAAGTACCATTAAATTTCGAGTAATTAAAGTATTGTATTAAATTTCGCGACTTATTCGATTTTTTGGAAGAATAGAATGAGGGACAAAGTTTCCCAGAAACGTTCAATTAATTGCAACCAAAGACTCATTTGATTATAATTTATATATGAAAGGAATACAACGGTTAATGGCTCAAATCTATATAATGTCCATTTATTTACAGAAGGTTCAACAACTGTTTTCAACCAAAATGTATTAATAAAAAATCATACGATTTAGTTTATTTTATTTTACCTTTAATAAAGCATTTAAAAACACATTCTTTAATGTTTACAATATTATATACGACTATAATATAGAATAAAATTATGATTTCTAACTGAAGTATTGTTCTACTAATTGTCCCATGAGATGGTTCATAAATATTTTAGCGTGGGTAATTTGAACAGCACTGAACACTTGCTTTTCTATCCCCTCCTGTGTTTTTTTTTTTACTATATTTATTGAGAGATATTACAATCTGTCACAAATAAGGAAATTTATAATAGTGTTGAGAGAGCACATTCAAGCTCTATCAACAATAAATAATGCAGAAAAAACAATAATACTGAAAGTAAATGTATATAGACTAACCCCCCTCCCCCCATAAAAAAAGAAACTAAACTAATAAAAACAAATACTCACATACCATATCTAAAAAAATATATATATTTTTTTTATTATTTATTTATTTAGACATATAATATTCTGTCACGGGGACAATAATTATATTGATAAATGAACACATTCACGCCGTATATACAAAAAAAAAAGTAAAATTAACAAAAGTAAAACAATAACTAAATAATAATAAATAAAAACTATACACAATAAAAAAATAACCTAAATATAAGTAAATTAAAAACATAAAAATACAGTCATACCTATATACAATATATACAATCAGGCGGGAAACCCAAATCCCTGCGCTAGTGTCTCAACCTCCTCACCGGTGCTAAAGGCGGCGGAGTTTGAGCGAGAGCGCTTTAGCCACATACACTCATGTCTTGAGTGGAGAATCTGGCCATTGCCAGAACTCCAAAATAAATACTATAAAAGATCTCTGGGCCACTGCCGCTTCAATCTTCGAGGAGGGTTGTAGGGATGAGTGGAACTAGATAGGGATTGGACTAGAGGATTTGGATTATTGATAAGGTTCTGATGAACTTTTGAAAAATTTTCAGGGATAAGGTCAAGGACAATAAAAATAAATAAAAAATCATTCACCCAAGATCTCCGAGCCAAGCCTTTCTCCCCACTCGAGGAAGGAAAGGCAGAACTCTAGAAGATCCCAGCGCCTCTAAATCATCCGCATTACTGGTATTAATGACCAGTAAGAGGCTGATCAGAGGCGCTTTAATCTCTCCCGTTTAGATCAAGAAACTTATCTAAACAGAATGGTAAGTGGAAATGAAAATTGTATTTTCTATCGCAAATTTAGACAGTTGTGAAAGTTCTGAAGAAGCACCAAGAAAATAAGAGAAAAGATGACTTCATCAGAAATGAATATTTCATATTTTTGTAGACAACCTCAATTTCGTTTCAAGAGAAAATCGAATGGTTATTTACGAGTTTAAATATCACATTAAATTAATTAATTAATTACAAAAAGCCCCATTTATGGGAATTTTCGTAGATTGAAATTTGAAGGTTAAGTTAAGATGAACCCATTCTAGTCGGATGTTAATAATTTTATAAAATTGGGTCTGTACCACGGACTAGAAATTTGGTATCAAGATGGAAAATACATTGAAAGTGTTTTATTCATTTTAGCTTATTTCTCGCAGTAAAAATATCGACATTACTTATGATCTAATGCTTAAGATTTCTTGGATCCTCCTGTCAACTTAATCCTGATTTTCCTATACATATCCTACCTGGACATCCTGGAGAACACTCTTGAACGGAGATGCGTACTGCTCAAGGTGCATGCGCTGAATCGGGCTGTCCGCCAGTCACCGACAAACCACCAAGCTAGGAGCAGGTTCGTCCTCACACCGCCTCTCGACGTACAGACGTCTGCGGTAGGTGTCATCATAAGCAAGAGCAGATGTCCCAATAATATATATAATGCAATAATATATATTTTAACAGTGTTTTTTATTCTTAATATATATCACTAAAAAACTAACATACATTATATAGGGAAATAGTTAATCTGTAAAAAAAAAAAAATCATTTCTATTGCCTCAAACAAACTGTGAATAATATACAGCTGTAGGAACATAGTAAGAATAACAAAAAAAACATCTTAACTGAATAACAAATATAGTGTATTTCAGCATAATTCAAACCTTTAAAAACATAAGAAATATTGAAAATTATATTTAATTTTAGGTACTCTCAGTTCATTAAAAAATTTGCTAAATTTTCGTTTAGATCAGTCATATATTTAATTTGATTTACAAATCTTATTATATATTATTTTAAAGAAAGAAAGAAAAAAATATTGTAGTCCATAACAAACTTAATAACATAGAAACTAGGTAGGAACAATAACAAAATATACTGTTAAATAAATAATTATAAATTTGAGGAAAAAATCATCATATAGTAATTAAAATTATAAATTGTTAATATAACTGTCATTTTAGTGAACTAGAGCTGTCATAAAATAAACTAGAAAGAAAAAAAAATTGGATATTAAACTTGATTAATAATGTTTATTATATATTATTTCAAAGAAAGATAAAAAAAAAAAACATTATTGTAGTCTAAAACAAACAAAAAAAAAAAAAAAAATGTCACCACAAAGAGTATAATAGAATAATTAAAATAATAAATTGTTAATAAAACTGTCAACTGATAGGCTTATATGTATCGGAAAAAAACAAAATAAAAACAATTAATTACGTTCAAAAACACTAATAATACTGAAAAGTTCATGTAAATTTAGAATATTATTAATTAATTTCATATAAATTTGTTTTAAGATTATTCATATATTAAATTTGATTAAAGCTTATTATATGATATTTCGAGAAAAAAAAAAAAAAAAAAACACTTTACCTCGGTCTAAAACAAACTTTGAAAAAAATTGAACCTAGATATGAAGTATACCAAAAAATTTGAAAATAAATTAAAAAGATAATAAATTTCAGCATAAAGAATATAATAGAGTTATTAAATATATACATTGTAAATGTTATTCACATTAGAGTGAACTATAGATGCCATAAAAGAACTAAAAAAAAATTATAATAGAGATACAAATAATTTAAACACGTGAGTAGTTCTCAAAATTTCATCTGAAGTTAAATTATTATTAATTCATTAAAGATACATTTTTTTTAGATTATACATAAAATAAATTTGATTAACAAAGCTTATCATATACTATTTCAAAGAAAGAAAAAAATCATTATTGTAGTAAAACAGACATTGAAAAAAATAGATGCTAGGTATGAAACATACCAAAAAATGGGGATAAATGAAAAAATATATATGATGAATTTCAGCACAAAGAATATAATAGAATAGTTAAGACTATAAATTTTAAATATTAGAGTGAAGTAAAGTTATCATAAAATAAACACAACATATTAATGGCGTGCTTAATATTGAAAACTTCATTTAAATTAAGGATATTATTAATTCGTTAATGCCTATTTTTATTAGATTATTCATGTATTAAATTTGAATAGTAAAGCCTATAAATTGTTAATATAACTGTCATAAAAGTGAGCTATAGGTTTCATAAAATAAAAATATTATAATAATAATAGTGTTGAAACACGTGAGTAATACTGAACATTTCATGTAAATTTAGAAAATTATTAATTCATTAATGATAAATTTGTTTTAAGAATATTGATATATTAAATTAAAATTAATACACACCCACACACCCCACCTCCCACTCACACACATATTTTTTTGTGTTTCTAATTTCTAAAAAGCAATATAGAAAAATGAATTTTAATAATTAAAATACCGTCTCTTGATTTAATGTAGATAGATAGGACTTTATTCTATTATAATAAAACAGCATTTTTGAACCACCTGGCCTATTTTTTTTTTCACTTTGGTGAAAGGTTCAGCCCTTTTGGACATTATCAAGTGAACAACAAAACATATTTTAAGTTAAAATGATTTGGGTTGATTTGCTCATGTCAGAGCTTTTTATATTATTCTGAAACATGTTCTCAGAAGGATTTAACTTTAGTCCAAATATTTTTAAGTTTAAGATTTTTTTTTCCAAATATATTATTTTATTATAAGAAATAAAATCAAATCCTAATCAAATATATTAAAATAAATACTGAAAAATGAGATAATTTTAATTTCTAAAATACGTATTAGAAAATAAATCTACATTTCTTATTTGCAAATTTATTATATAAAGTTAAATAAATGTATGAAGATTTGTTTCAGCATTATATAAAGAAAATGTGACCTTAGCAAATCAGACCAAACATTTTTATGTTTTTTTGTGGGGAATACAGTTTGAAACTTTAGTAAAAGAAAAAAAAACTAATTCTTAATCATTAAATGTGTTAGATACATTTACGTTTAATTTTAGTTATAAAAGAGACTAATTCTTCTAATTATGGCACCATAATGTTAAATATAAGGAAGTAATAAGATATTTTATATATATTACTAATTATTCAAGAAAATATTTATCATAGTTATGTTGTAAAACATTATATATATATATATATATATATATATATATATATATATATATATATATATATATATATATATATATATATATATATATATATATATATAATAAACTTTTATTTTAGCATTTTTGTTTTAAGAAATAAGAAAATATATCACTTTTTTTTAAGATTTATGTAAAATTTCTCGACAAAAAGTGCTTACTTGGAGTTTAAATCAATTCTCAATATTTCGAATTATGAATTAAGTTCTCTTTTATTCAAGTGTAATTTCGAAAACTGTTTAACAAAGAAGAAAATGAAAGGGATGTCATTTGACCCTTTTCAATCAATACGTTTGAAATCAGTTATTTGATAACTTGGAATAAAGAAACATGAACGTATATAGAGCTAATTTAAACCTTTTGATTTAAAGAGACCAGGCAATGTCTTGTTAAATCTTTTATTTTAATATTCTTAAACGTGACAATTTTCCAAATTCGAATATATCCTTATACTTAGTAGCCAATTTAATATATGTTAAAAAACTAGCATCACGTTATGTTATTATGTTATGTTCTTAACAATTCGTCTTTATAAGTCATGTAATTTTTAAAACAGTAACTCGTTTAATGATACATTTTTTGTTTATTTATTTTCCTTATACTTAAGGTTAGACTGAAGGCGGGGAATGCTTGTTATTTTTCTGTGACAAAACTACTTAGTTCGCG